TGAGGTATATCTTCCACAGATTCTTCTTAAATGCTCTATGTCATCAAATACTGTGAACCTGTGATTTCAACAGTTATTCTAAGTAATATGCTCATTGAAGGACCCCTTTCCAATCTTTGAGTGACATGGCTAGATGGTGTTGGCAAAACATTTCTTTAGACCAATCGGTACTCAAACAAGGATATGGTGAATATAATTCTAGCTGCCTTTACTTTCCATAAAATTCCTGGTAATATTTGAGCTGGGTTTAGCTGGGAGTTCATGTGCATTTTAAAAACATCCTCACTTCAATAGGAGACTAAACCAAAGACCATTGGCTGGGCAGGCAAACATTGGCGACACAGCAGAAGCTGATTGAGCAATAGGGTCTTATTGGTGATGACTAAATATTAGTCATGACAGCAAACAGTCTACACACTTCACCACACAATTTTACCACTTCAATCACACCATATATCTCGTATCATCCTCCCACATACATCCACAAATTTCTCACCTTGCTCACAGAATATCTCTCATACAACCCCTTGGTTATATCATGCAACTCTCATCACACCATATACCACAGATAATTCCCTTAGTCACACCACATACAATGCTCCAGTAACACCATATATCACACATAATCCCCTAGTCTCACCACATACAATGCTCCAGTCACACCAAACACAACACATAATCCCTTAGTCAGACCACATACAATCCCCTAGTCACACCATGTCATACTACATGCAGTCCCCTAGTCACACCACATACAATGCTCCAGTAACACCATAAACCACATACAATCCCCTAGTCACACCATGTCATACTGCATGCGGTACCCTAGTCATACCACATACAATGCTCCAGTCACACCATATACCACACACCCTAGTCACACCACATTATACGGCATGCAGTCCCCTAGTCATACCACATACAATGCTCAAGTCACACCATATACCACACACAATCCCCTAGTCACACCACATCATACTGCATGCAGTCCCCTAGTCACATGGCATACAATGCTCCAGTCACACCATATACCACACACAATCCCCTAGTCACACCACGTCATACAGCATGCAGTCCCCTAGTCATACCACATACAATGCTCAAGTCACAGCATATACCACACACAATCACCTAGTCACACCATGCCATACTGCACACAGTCCCCTAGTTACACCATGTCATACTGCATGCGGTCCCCTAGTCACACCATGTCATATTCTATGTGGTCTGTGTGATAAATGGCAGCTTTGTAACTATACCTATCTGACATGCTCCGCTGCACTGGGTTAAGGACACAGCCAGACTTGGCTGGGACCTGGTTGGATGTGAGCTGTGAGGGGCCTGCCCCCATCTCCTCGTACTCCCCAATTGTGGTCTCCACCAGGGAGGGCTCCAGCTCTGGGTATGCCGGCACTTTTCCTTGCAGCAGGCAGACATAGGTCTTGAAGCGTTTTATCTGGAAACATGAGATAACAAAGGAAGAGGTTTAGAGGGAATATACCACTAGAGTGCTATAATTGACAAAGGGGTTACAATGGAACTACAGTATACTTTTAGAGAGAATAAAACAGTGGGGTACTACAGTATACTTTAACAGAGAATATAAGTGGGAGACTACAGTGTACATTAAGAGAGAATATAAGTCAGAGACTACAGTATACTTTAAGAGAGAAAGGATATAAGTGGGAGACTACAGTATACTTTAAGAGAGAATATAAGTGGGAGACTACAGTATACTTTAAGAGAGAAAGGATATAAGTGGGAGACTACAGTATACTTTAAGAGAGAATATAAGTGGGAGACTACAGTATACTTTAAGAGAGAATATAAGTGGGAGACTACAGTGTACTTTTAGAATAAATAGTGGGAGACTACAGTGTACTTTTAGAAGACCAGACAGTCACTAAAGAAGTGAGCAGACAGTACTTCTAACGTTCAACAGCAGACAGTACCTCAAACGTTCAACATCAGACAGTCAACTGAAGAAGTGAGCAGACAGTACTTCAAACGTTCAACATCAGACAGTTGCAGAGAGTCAACTGAAGAAGTGAGCAGACAGTACCTCAAACGTTCAACATCAGACAGTGGCAGAGAGTCAACTGAAGAAGTGAGCAGACAGTACCTCAAACTCCAGGTAGCTCTCCTTGTCCAGATATTCTTGGATTAGGGATGACTTTGCTCCTTTCTCTGGAGCGGCAACTCGATGTAAGTGAAGTTCCTGCTCCAGGTCTTCCAACTTTGCCTGGTGGCTGTGCAGCTGTTCTCTCTGTGTCAGTTCAGCATACATCAGTGAATAAGTGGTCGCTTTTACCAAATAAACTTGAAAAACTCTCATACACACAAGCACAGCCACATGCAAACTCTGTCTGGTATTAGACCAGAATATCTCCTTCAACCACACATGTCAGACAAGTAATACAATCTTACCAATCATGTTCACCCTGTGCTGAATGCAGGTCTAGCTTAAGATACAAGCATGAAGCAGAGACACCTTCTTCTTCTTCTTAAAGCTGACACTAGTCAGTGACACATGACAATAGGATGATCAAAGTGTCAGATGTTCCTGTTGTCTAAACATACATACAGGACTACTATCTGCAACAGAAGTAACATAAGCATAACTCCTGCACACACCATACATTATTAATATATATTTCGACACCGATATATTTCCAGGAAAATTCCAGGTGTAGTATGAAAAAAACAGTATTGATAACACCCAGCAACAGCCTAGGATCTGCATGGTCTCTGCTTGAGTGCTCCCCCACAGCAGTCTGGCCAGACTTCAGCTGTTTGAGATAACCAAGATATGGCAACTCCTCCCTTGACCTCCACAGGTATCATTCAATACACCATAAGGCACCAGATGCTCTGTCCAATTTAAGGTCAAACTACCTGTCATTTCCACAGCTGTATTCTTTCTGCATTTAGTGAGTATTCCCTCACAGCCATTTCTCTATGTTGCCGGTCTCCTTGACTGCCATTCCATATTTTCAGTTTGGCCAGCTTGGCTCAGATTGCCATTTCACATTTCCATGCCGGACAGAACCGATGACTCTCCAAGCACAGCCATGCTGACTGCTGTTTCTACTGCTGTCTGATATTGTAGCTTTCCATGTGGTTAACAGTTTAGAATTAGTTTCCCCATGTGGGTTCTGGGGTCCCATTGTGGAGGTGGGGGGGGGGGGGGAGGACAAGAATAGACCTACTGCCTCCCCAACAAGCATGCCGTAAGAGTAGCCCAAGTGGAGGTTTCCTTCAAAGTGGCACTGCATCCACCTGAGGGGCAAGAAACCAACAGTCTGTGTAGAAACAAGCCAGATCTGTGAAACAGATGTGTATGCATAAGACTCCAGTTCTGGAACAAGACTACTTTCAACAGACAAAGATATGTTGCACAGACTAGTCTTCACCCTGTGACAGGCTACTTTCAACTGACAAAGATATGTTGCACAGACTATTCTTCACCATGTGAGAGGCTACTTTCAACAGACAAAGATATGTTGCACAGACTATTCTTCACCCTGTGAGAGGCTACTTTCACCTGACAAAGATATGTTGCACAGACTAGTCTTCACCCTGTGAGAGGCTACTTTCAATAGACAAAGATATGTTGCACAGACTATTCTTCACCATGTGACAGGCTACTTTCAACAGACAAAGATATGTTGCACAGACTAGTCTTCACCCTGTGAGAGGCTACTTTCAACAGACAAAGATATGTTGCACAGACTAGTCTTCACCCTGTGACAGGCTACTTTCAACAGACAAAGATATGTTGCACAGACTATTCTCACCCCCTGTGACAGGCTACTTTCAACAGAAAAAGATATGTTGCACAGACTATTCTTCACCCTGTGAGAGGCTACTTTCAACTGACAAAGATATGTTGCACAGACTAGTCTTCACCCTGTGACAGGCTACTTTCAACAAAGATATGTTGCACAGACTATTCTTCACCATGTGAGAGGCTACTTTCAACAGACAAAGATATGTTGCACAGACTATTCTTCACCATGTGAGAGGCTACTTTCAACAGACAAAGATATGTTGCACAGACTATTCTCCACCCTTTTAGAGGCTTCTTTCAACTGACAAAGATATGTTGCACAGACTACTCTTCACCCTGTGAGAGGCTACTTTCAACTGACAAAGATATGTTGCACAGACTAGTCTTCACCCTGTGAGAGGCTACTTTCAACTGACAAAGATATGTTGCACAGACTATTCTCCACCATATGACAGGCTACTTTCAACAGACAAAGATATGTTGCACAGACTATTCTCCACCCTGTAAGAGGCTTTTTTCAACTGACAAAGATATGTTGCACAGACTACTCTTCACCCTGTGAGAGGCTACTTTCAACTGACAAAGATATGTTGCACAGACTACTCTTCACCCTGTGAGAGGCTACTTTCAACTGACAAAGATATGTTGCACAGACTAGTCTTCACCCTGTGAGAGGCTACTTTCAACTGACAAAGATATGTTGCACAGACTATTCTCCACCATATGACAGGCTACTTTCAACAGACAAAGATATGTTGCACAGACTATTCTCCACCCTGTAAGAGGCTTTTTTCAACTGACAAAGATATGTTGCACAGACTACTCTTCACCCTGTGAGAGGCTACTTTCAACTGACAAAGATATGTTGCACAGACTACTCTTCACCCTGTGAGAGGCTACTTTCAACTGACAAAGATATGTTGCACAGACTAGTCTTCACCCTGTGAGAGGCTACTTTCAACTGACAAAGATATGTTGCACAGACTATTCTCCACCATATGACAGGCTACTTTCAACAGACAAAGATATGTTGCACAGACTACTCTTCACCCTGTAAGAGGCTACTTTAAACTGACAAGGATATGTTGCAGACTATTCTCCAATGTGTTAGAGGCTACTTTCAACTGACAAAGATATGTTTCACAGACTATTCTCCAATGTGTCAGATGCTACTTTCAACAATTCTCACTTCAGCTCAGACTGTACCTACCACATTCAATCGTGTACAGGAGGAAGGCAACAGCTGGCGCTGAAATTTAGTTCTGGAACCAACGGCACCAGGCAAGACAGGCGCAGACAGAGAGGCTGCAACCAAGTTGATTGTGTCCACCCACTCTTGCAGCTCTTTACTGTCACTGCAAAACATAGACCAAGATGTCAGTGATTGTAGTATGTGTAAAACAGACAATAATGTCAGTGATTGTAGTTCAGCTCAAACATAGACCATGGTGTCAGTGATTGTAGTACAGCTCAAACATAGACCATGGTGTCAGTGATTGTAGTTCAGCTCAAACTTAGACCATGGTGTCAGTGATTGTAGTTCAGCTCAAACTTAGACCATGGTGTCAGTGATTGTAGTACAGCTCAAACATAGATCTTGATGTAAGGGATTGTTGTACAGCTCAAACATAGACCATGGTGTTAGTGATTGTTGTACAGCTCAAACATAGACCATGATGACAAGATGATGATGTTTGCTGACCCTTTCTCATCCCATTGTTTTGTTATTGCCGTGTTTGCTCAAACATAAGAACACAGTCAAAATCAACTGAAAACATGAATGCTGCATCAGCTTTAGGGGAGCAAATGCCCATTTCCAGAAAAACAAAAGGACATTACTCATTTCACAAAAGGTCAGCATTTCATAATCAGTGAGTTGTTTTCCCTGTCCCCTGCTAACCCCTTTAGTCCCCAGCTATTACTACTGATGCTCAAATTTAACTCTTGTCTTGGATCAAACACTTTACTGACATTTTTGTCAGGTCAGCTGATAGGTGCTCAGCAATTGAACATAGACCATGGCATATCAAGTTTGTTCTCTTCATCAGATCAAGCATCCAGCGGTGGTGATTAAAAGGACATATGATGTTACTGTGTTGCCTGCTCACTGACAGGAAGACAACATTCTACAATAAGTGTTAGCAAAAATATTTGTGTCCTCAACCACCTCAAAGTGCACGTGACCTTTGTTCATGAAGTCTAACCCCTTGGATTAATATTATTTGAAAAACAAAAACAAACAACAACAGCCGAATACTAACTCTAAAATACTTGACTGAACAGATCTATTCCGTCAGGATGCACTGATGAGACTAGGACTACTTAGGTAACAGGTAGAGGTCTGACGGTCTGGTCAGTTTCCATAACAGCCGTGCAAACTCTTTGTCTTGTCTCTCCTCTTTAGCACAATAAGTGCATCCTGCATTTGTTGACCTAACTATCTGTTATGAGTGCCCTTTTGTTCACTCCTTGTCTCCCTCTATTTTCTACAGGTATCTCTGTCCCTCTATCATACCACAAGCTATGACACTGACTGAATAAAAATTAAAACGATAAGAAGTAAACGTATGATTGCACTGCCAGTGAACATATACTGTTTGACCTACCCTGTCTGGAAGAGGTACTCAGCCAAGTCTGCAGTCTGCAGCCTGAAGACATGTTGTTTCTTGGTATAGTCCAAGGCTTTGGTTGCAAGCGAGTGGTGGATGCGGATGGCATTGTGGCTGCTCTCCACAAAATGTCCCTTCTTCAACTGGTGCTCATCTTTATATTGGTAGAGGATCATGTCACGGAGTACAGCATACAGCATCTTCCAGCCCCGCTTCCCAAAAGGAGCTGACAGAGACAAAGGATACAGGATTCAGTCAACAGAATCTCTACCGTAAAGATTGTGACAGCTGACAGAGACAAAGGATACAGGATTCAGACAGTCAACAGAATCTCTACAGTGAAGATTGTGACAGCTGACAGAGCATCCAGGATTCAGACAGTCAACATAATCTCTATTGTAAAGATTGCGACAGCTGACAGAGCATACAGGATTCAGACAGTCAACATAATCTCTATCGTAAAGACTGTGACAGCTGACAGAGCATACAGGATTCAGACAGTCAACATAATCTCTATACTGAAGACTGTGACAGCTGACAAACAGAGCATACAGGATTCAGACAGTCAACATAATCTCTATCGTAAAGACTGTGACAGCTGACAGAGCATACAGGATTCAGACAGTCAACATAATCTCTATACTGAAGACTGTGACAGCTGACAAACAGAGCATACAGGATTCAGACAGTCAACATAATCTCTATCGTAAAGACTGTGACAGCTGACAAACAGAGCATCCAGGATTCAGACAGTCAACATAATCTCTATTGTAAAGATTGCGACAGCTGACAGAGCATACAGGATTCAGACAGTCAACATAATCTCTATCGTAAAGACTGTGACAGCTGACAAACAGAGCATACAGGATTCAGACAGTCAACATAATCTCTATCGTAAAGACTGTGACAGCTGACAGAGCATACAGGATTCAGACAGTCAACATAATCTCTATCGTAAAGACTGTGACAGCTGACAAACAGAGCATACAGGATTCAGTCAACAGAATCTCTGCAGTGAAGATTGTGACAGTCAACATAATCTCTATACTGAAGACTGTGACAGCTGACAGAGACAGAGCATACAGGATTCAGACAGTCAACATAATCTCTATACTGAAGACTGTGACAGCTGACAGAGCATACAGGATTCAGTCAACAGAATCTCTGTAGTGAGGATAGTGACAGCTGGCAGAGACAGAGCATACAGGATTCAGACAGTCAACATAATCTCTTTTGTGAAAATTGTGACAGCTGATAAACAGCACATACAGGATTCAGACAGTCAACAAAATCTCTATAGTGAAGATTTAGACAGCTTTCAGAGCATACAGGATTCAGACAGTCAACATAATCTCTATAGTGAAGATTTAGACAGCTGACAGAGCATACAAGATTCAGACAGTCAACATAATCTCTATAGTGAAGATTTAGACAGCTGACAGAGCATACAAGATTCAGACAGTCAACATAATCTCTATAGGCTGGCACCACAGCTGACAGACAGAATATACAGAGTTCATATGCAAGAAAACTTACACAATATAATTTGATACACATCACTATTGATTATCTACTATCATCACACCATATCACAAAAAATTGATAATACTTACAATAACATAATGACATAATGACATAAGATAAGTCTTGACCACATACAACCTTTCACATCTCACCATGGACAACTGTCTACAATCTTTACATCACTAGTAATTATCAACAATCATCACAAACATCACTATCAATTATTTACTATCACAACATCACTATTGCAGATAGGCTCAAAGTGCTGCAATCTAAGTCACATCTCAGAGTAGCTGCAGACAAGAAGCATCTTCTGCATCAAGACTTAAGTAAAGTTAGTGATGGCACAAGCAGAAAACAGATTGAGACATGTGTGCAGACTTGATACATTTGGGCGAGGAGATAGTGTCCTAGCAAGAATCAGACTTGTGTAGGGTTCTAATCCCTTGAGGTTATGAGTGCAGGGACTGGCCACCTGTTGCTGCAGAATCAGGGGTTCAACAAATGATTCACAACAATTGCCGCCCAAGTGATGTGATTATCTATACAGATGGCTCTGTGTTGAGAGGTAGATTGAGTGCATGGGGGTTCATAGCAAAAGCAAATGGGAATCGCTTGGTGCAGCAAAGCCTGGCATATGATATCATGTCTAGGATGAGATTGGAGGTTAGTTAGTTTATTAGTCGACAGATTATCCTCATTGCACATCAAATCATTTAGTCCATAAGTGCTCAGATCCCATCCTTAGAAGTCCCCCAGTGTAAAAGCTCACGACACCAGTTCTGTGTTGGTTTCTTGTTTTTCTTTGGCTTCCTGTATAGTGCTTGTCTGACCACACTCCTCTTAACGTCTTGTTCTGGCAGTCTGGTCATGGCTGCAGATTCACAGTCATCTCTTGGTTCTGGCAGTCTGGTCGTGGCTGCAGATTCACAGTCATCTCTTGGTTCTGGCAGTCTGGTCGTGGCTGCAGATTCACAGTCATCTCTTGGTTCTGGCAGTCTGGTCATGGTTGCAGATTCAAAGTCATCTCTTGGTTCTGGCAGTCTGGTCGTGGCTGCAGATTCACAGTCATCTCTTGGTTCTGGCAGTCTGGTCGTGGTTGCAGATTCAAAGTGATCTCTTGGTTCTGGCAGTCTGGTCGTGGCTGCAGATTCACAGTCATCTCTTGGTTCTGGCAGTCTGGTCGTGGCTGCAGATTCACAGTCATCTCTTGGTTCTGGCAGTCTGGTCGTGGCTGCAGATTCACAGTCATCTCTTGGTTCTGGCAGTCTGGTCATGGTTGCAGATTCAAAGTCATCTCTTGGTTCTGGCAGTCTGGTCGTGGCTGCAGATTCACAGTCATCTCTTGGTTCTGGCAGTCTGGTCGTGGTTGCAGATTCAAAGTGATCTCTTGGTTCTGGCAGTCTGGTCGTGGCTGCAGATTCACAGTCATCTCTTGGTTCTGGCAGTCTGGTCGTGGCTGCAGATTCACAGTCATCTCTTGGTTCTGGCAGTCTGGTCGTGGCTGCAGATTCACAGTCATCTCTTGGTTCTGGCAGTCTGGTCGTGGTTGCAGATTCACAGTCATCTCTTGGTTCTGGCAGTCTGGTCGTGGCTGCAGATTCACAGTCATCTCTTGGTTCTGGCAGTCTGGTCATGGTTGCAGATTCACAGTCATCTCTTGGTTCTCGCAAACGTCTTGCTTCTTGTACAGCATTCAGAATATCAGATTGGTCCATGTCTTTTTTTTTGTCCTCCACAGCTTCTTTACCTGCAAGCCGATCAGCCTGCTCATTTCCTTGCATGCCTGCATGCCCTGGCACAAATTTGAAACTGATATGTGTCAGCCCCAACCGCTTTAGAGAATGGAGGTGGAGGCAGTCACTGTTGCATTCCGCTGGATTGAGAATCAGCTGTACACACTTCGTAATTGTTACTGACTCACAGAGTATCTTTAAAAGTGTGGAGACAGGCATGCACCATGCAGAGTAGCAAGTATCGCTTCAGAGTTCCATGGTAGATAGCATCTTTTTGATATTTTCTCCAGGTAACGCTGGTGTTTTAGGAAATGAGCAGGCAGTTAGACTGGATGGCTCTGCACCACTTGGTTGTGAACTGATGCAGACAAACTAGACGTTGTGAGGGCCCTTTGTGAGTGAGTGTACAGTAAGGAGGCACAAACAGATCATTAGGGTTTAAGGAGAAGGGTGCTGTAAGGAGTCACCCCAGGATCTGGCTGACGCTCAACTCTCAAGAAAAAGGTGAGACAATGTACAATCAGACAGTCACTGGTACCATCTGAATTGGAACTCTTCGCTTGCTACTGAAGATGGGAATGAAGCGCTTATGGAAGTGTTCCAAATGCTATAATGTTGATTCAATTAATTCTTAATTCAACATTACCAGAATTTATCTACAATGATCACATCACTAGAAATGATCTACAATTAACACAATCACATTTAACAAAACAGCACTGACCACAGAAAACACCCAAATCCTGATTTCTAAACAACAAAATAGAATATGTGTTTAACAGAAAATGATGGTTGTGACATACTTCTCCTTCTGTCTGCATCCATACAACACTTGCGCATGACGTAACCTTTTTTGTACTCTGTGGTCTTGCTGGGGTCTGGCACCTGTAGGCACATCAGTGAGAAATATATAGACATATATGTGTGTGTGTATAGACATATATGTGTGTGTGTATAGACATATATGTGTGTGTGTATAGACATATATGTGTGTGTGTAATAATATATATGTGTGTGTATAGATATATATTTGTGTGTATAGATATATATATGTGTGTGTATAGACATATATGTGTGTGTGTATAGATATATATTTGTGTGTATAGATATATATGTGTGTGTGTAATGATATATATGTGTGTGTATAGATATATATTTGTGTGTATAGATATATATGTGTGTGTGTATAGATATATATATGTGTGTGTATAGATATATATATGTGTGTGTATAGATATATATATGTGTGTGTGTAATGATATATATGTGTGTGTATAGATATATATTTGTGTGTATAGATATATATGTGTGTGTATAGAAATATATGTGTGTGTATAGATATATATTTGTGTGTATAGATATATATGTGTGTGTGTATAGATATATATGTGTGTGTGTAGACATATATGTGTGTGTGTAGACATATATGTGTATGTGTATAGACATATATGTGTGTGTATATATTAGGGCTGTACCGAATAGTGATTGTCACTATTCGGCCGAATACGAATAGTGGGGCCAACTATTCGGCCGAATACGAATACGAATAGTGTATCATCATCATCAGGTGCCTTGCCGACCGACGTGGACGATTATGCCTCGCCACAATCTGCGATCTGCTGCAGCATGTATTAGTTCGTATGCTGACAAGTCGGAGTGCATCTGCCTCAGAGACAACTAACTGGGTGATTCTTTCCAAGTCGCAGTGCATCTGCCTCAGAGTCAACTAACTGGGTGATTCTTTCCAAGTCGCAGTGCATCTGCCTCAGAGACGACTAACTGGGTGATTCTTTCCAAGTCGCAGTGCATCTGCCTCAGAGACGACTAACTAAGTGATTCTTTCCAAGTCGGAGTGCATCTGCCTCAGAGATGACTAACTAAGTGATTCTTTCCAAGTCGGAGTGCATCTGCCTCAGAGACGACTAACTGGGTGATTCTTTCCAAGTCGCAGTGCATCTGCCTCAGAGACGACTAACTGGGTGATTCTTTCCAAGTCGCAGTGCATCTGCCTCAGAGACGACTAACTGGGTGATTCTTTCCAAGTCGCAAAGCATCTGCCTCAGAGACAACTAACTGGGTGATTCTTTCCAAGTCGCAGTGCATCTGCCTCAGAGACAACTAACTGGATGATTCTTTCCAAGTCGCAGTGCATCTGCCTCAGAGACACAACTAACTGGGTGATTCTTTCCAAGTCGCAGTGCATCTGCCTCAGAGACAACTAACTGGGTGATTCTTTCCAAGTCGCAGTGCATCTGCCTCAGAGACAACTAACTGGGTGATTCTTTCCAAGTCGCAGTGCATCTGCCTCAGAGACAACTAACTGGGTGATTCTTTCCAAGTCGCAGTGCATCTGCCTCAGAGACAACTAACTGGGTGATTCTTTCCAAGTCGCAGTGCATCTGCCTCAGAGACAACTAACTGGGTGATTCTTTCCAAGTCGCAGTGCATCTGCCTCAGAGTCGACTAACCGGGTGATTCCTTCCAAGTCGGAGTGCATCTGCCTCAGAGACAACTAACTGGGTGATTCTTTCCAAGTCGGAGTGCATCTGCCTCAGAGGCAACGAATGAACAATTTGCATACAGATTAGATTGATCTGTGACATAGATGTGTACGTAACACTTAGGTTCTGGTGATCTGTGACAAAGATGTGTATGTAACACTCAGGTTCTGGTGATCTGTGACATAGATGTGTACGTAACACTCAGGTTCTAGTGATCTGTGACATAGACATGTACGTAACACTCAGGTTTTGGTGATCTGTGACAAAGATGTGTATGTAACACTCAGGTTCTGCAACAAGACTAAAGTCTAGAGGTTGACCAGAACTTTCCGCCAGAGTTAAGAGCAAGTGAACATGAACAAGAAGACGAAGTAGATCCCAGTTTCGACGATGATGATAAATACAAAAACCACTACAACTGTAACATTTAGCAAAAAAACAAAACAGTCAAAACGAATAATAAGAGAAGACTAAGCACTACTACACCAGGCTGAAGTGTAACGATGTTACTGTGCTCACAGTTATCATGTCTATATTTGATACTTCAACTATGTTACCTCAAGAAAAGGATTACTGCCCAGAGATGAAAGAACTGGAGACTGTGGAGGCCCCGTCTGCTCCAGTAATGGAGCTCCCTCTTGTTCTGGCGAAACATCGTCTCTGGAATGTCAAAGACAAGTTGTATAATGAGCTTTAGAGGATACAGTTGGATGGAAGCGATCATCAACTCAGCTGTTGTTTTGTTCTCTACCTGCAGCCACTTCCTCAGTTGTTGTTCTGTTCTCTACCTGCAGCCACTACCTCAGTTGTTGTTCTGTTCTCTACCTACAGCCACTACCTCAGTTGTTGTTCTGTTCTCTACCTACAGCCACTAACTCAGTTGTTGTTCTGTTCTCTACCTGCAGCCACTACCTCAGTTGTTGTTCTGTTCTCTACCTACAGCCACTACCTCAGTTGTTGTTTTGTTCTCTACCTACAGCCACTACCTCAGTTGTTGTTCTGTTCTCTACCTACAGCCACTACCTCAGTTGTTGTTCTGTTCTCTACCTACAGCCACTACCTCAGTTGTTGTTCTGTTCTCTACCTACAGCCACTACCTCAGTTGTTGTTCTGTTCTCTGCCTACAGCCACTACCTCAGTTGTTGTTTTGTTCTCTACCTGAAGCCACTACCTGAGTTGTTGTTCTGTTCTCTACCTGCAGCCACTACCTCAGTTGTTGTTCTGTTCTCTACCTACAGCCACTACCTCAGTTGTTGTTCTGTTCTCTACCTACAGACACTTATTCGTTGTTGTTTTGTTCTCTACCTACAGCCACTACCTCAGTCGTTGTTCTGTTCTCTACCTACAGCCACTACCTCAGTTGTTGTTCTGTTCTCTACCTACAGCGACTACCTCAGTTGTGGTTTTGTTCTCTACCTACAGCCACTAACTCAACTGTTGTTTTGTTCTCTACCTGCAGCCACTACCTCAGTTGTTGTTTTGTTCTCTACCTGCAGCCACTACCTCAGTTGTTGTTTTGTTCTCTACCTACAGCCACTACCTCAGTTGTTGTTTTGTTCTCTACCTACAGCCACTACCTCAGTTGTTGTTTTGTTCTTTACCTGCATCCACTACCTCAGTTGTTGTTCTGTTCTTTACCTACAGCCACTTCCTCAGTTGTTCTGTTCTCTACCTACAGCCACTTCCTGAGTTGTTGTTTTGTTCTCAACCTGCAGCCACTACCTCAGTTGTTGTTCTGTTCTTTACCTACAGCCACTTCCTCAGTTGTTGTTCTGTTCTCTACCTACAGCCACTAACTCAGTTGTTGTTCTGTTCTCTACCTACAGCCACTACCTCAGTTGTTGTTCTGTTCTCTACCTACAGCCACTACCTCAGTTGTTGTTCTGTTCTCTACCTACAGCCACTACCTCAGTTGTTGTTCTGTTCTCTACCTGCAGCCACTACCTTAGTTGTTGTTCTGTTCTCTACCTACAGCCACTTCCTCAGTTGTTGTTCTGTTCTCTACCTGTAGCCACTACCTCAGTTGTTGTTCTGTGCTCTACCTACAGCCACTACCTCAGTTGTTGTTCTGTTCTCTACCTACAGCCACTATCTCAGTTGTTCTTCTGTTCTCTACCTGCAGACACTTATTCGTTGTTGTTCTGTTCTCTACTTACAGCCACTACCTCAGTTGTTCTTCTGTTCTCTACCTGCAGACACTTATTCGTTGTTGTTCTGTTCTCTACCTACAGCCACTACCTCAGTTGTTGTTTTGTTCTCTACCTACAGCCACTACCTCAGTTGTTGTTTTGTTCTCTACCTGCAGCCACTAACTCAGCTGTTGTTCTGTTCTCTACCTACAGCTACTACCTCAGTTGTTGTTCTGTTCTCTACCTACAGCCACTACCTCAGTTGTTGTTTTGTTCTCTACCTGCAGCCACTACCTCAGTTGTTGTTTTGTTCTCTACCTGCAGCCACTACCTCAGTTGTTGTTCTGTTCTCTACCTACAGCCACTACCTCAGTTGTTGTTCTGTTCTCTACCTACAGCCACTACCTCAGTTGTTGTTCTGTTCTCTACCTACAGCCACTACCTCAGTTGTTGTTTTGTTCTCTACCTGCAGCCACTAACTCAGCTGTTGTTCTGTTCTCTACCTACAGCCACTACCTCAGTTGTTGTTTTGTTCTCTACCTACAGCCACTTCCTCAGTTGTTGTTTTGTTCTCTACCTGTAGCCACTACCTCAGTTGTTGTTTTGTTCTCTACCTACAGCCACTACCTCAGTCGTTGTTCTGTTCTCTACCTACAGCCACTACCTCAGTTGTTGTTCTGTTCTCTACCTACAGCGACTACCTCAGTTGTGGTTTTGTTCTCTACCTACAGCCACTAACTCAACTGTTGTTTTGTTCTCTACCTGCAGCCACTACCTCAGTTGTTGTTTTGTTCTCTACCTGCAGCCACTACCTCAGTTGTTGTTTTGTTCTCTACCTACAGCCACTACCTCAGTTGTTGTTTTGTTCTCTACCTACAGCCACTACCTCAGTTGTTGTTCTGTTCTCTACCTACAGCCACTACCTCAGTTGTTGTTTTGTTCTCTACCTGCAGCCACTACCTCAGTTGTTGTTTTGTTCTCTACCTACAGCCACTACCTCAGTTGTTGTTCTGTTCTCTACCTACAGCCACTACCTCAGTTGTTGTTCTGTTCTCTACCTACAGCCACTACCTCAGTTGTTGTTCTGTTCTCTACCTACAGCCACTACCTCAGTTGTTGTTCTGTTCTCTACCTGCAGCCACTACCTCAGTTGTTGTTCTGTTCTCTACCTACAGCCACTTACTCAGTTGTTGTTCTGTTCTCTACCTGTAGCCACTACCTCAGTTGTTGTTCTGTTCTCTACCTGTAGCCACTACCTCAGTTGTTGTTCTGTTCTTTACCTACAGCCACTACCTCAGTTGTTGTTTTGTTCTCTACCTGCAGCCACTACCTCAGTTGTTGTTCTGTTCTTTACCTACAGCCACTTCCTCAGTTGTTCTGTTCTCTACCTACAGCCACTACCTCAGTTGTTGTTTTGTTCTCAACCTGCAGCCACTACCTCAGTTGTTGTTCTGTTCTTTACCTACAGCCACTTCCTCAGTTGTTGTTCTGTTCTCTACCTACAGCCACTACCTCAGTTGTTGTTCTGTTCTCTACCTACAGCCACTACCTCAGTTGTTGTTCTGTTCTCTACCTACAGCCACTAACTCAGTTGTTGTTCTGTTCTCTACCTACAGCCACTACCTCAGTTGTTGTTCTGTTCTCTACCTACAGCCAGTACCTCAGTTGTTGTTCTGTTCTCTACCTATAGCCACTACCCCAGCTGTTATTTTGTTCTCAACCTACAGCCACTAACTTAGCCGTTCTTTACCTACAGCCACTAACTGTTACTACCTACTGTTACTACCTCAGTTTTCTGTCTACCATGTGCCTACTGTTACAACCTCAGTTTTCTGTCTACCATGTGTCCACTGTCACTACCTCAGTTTTCTGTCTACCATGTGTTTACTGTCACTATCTCAGTTTTCTGTCTACCATGTGTTTACTGTCACTATCTCAGTTTTCTGTCTACCATGTGTTTACTGTCACTATCTCAGTTTTCTGTCTACCATGTGTCCACTGTCACTACCTCAGTTTTCTGTCTACCATGTGTTTACTGTCACTATCTCAGTTTTCTGTCTACCATGTGTCCACTGTCACTACCTCAGTTTTCTGTCTACCATGTGTCTACTGTCACTACCTCAGTTTTCTGTCTACCATGTGCCTACTGTTACTACCTCAGTTTTCTGTCTACCATGTGCCTACTGTCACTACCTCAGTTTTCTGTCTACTATGTACTTACTGTCACTATCTCAGTTTTCTGTCTGCTATGTACTTACTGTCACTACCTCAGTTTTCTGTCTACTATGTACTTACTGTCACTACCTCAGTTTTCTGTCTACCATGTGTTTACTGTCACTATCTCAGTTTTCTGTCTACCATGTGTTTACTGTCACTATCTCAGTTTTCTGTCTACCATGTGTCCACTGTCACTATCTCAGTTTTCTGTCTACCATGTGTCCACTGTCACAACCTCAGTTTTCTGTCTACCATGTGTCCACTGTCACTATCTCAGTTTTCTGTCTACCATGTGTCCACTGTCACTATCTCAGTTTTCTGTCTACCATGTGTTTACTGTCACTATCTCAGTTTTCTGTCTACCATGTGTTTACTGTCACTATCTCAGTTTTCTGTCTACCATGTGTTTACTGTCACTATCTCAGTTTTCTGTCTACCATGTGTCCACTGTCACTATCTCAGTTTTCTGTCTACCATGTGTTTACTGTCACTATCTCAGTTTTCTGTCTACCATGTGTCCACTGTCACTATCTCAGTTTTCTGTCTACCATGTGTCCACTGTCACTACCTCAGTTTTCTGTCTACCATGTGTTTACTGTCACTATCTCAGTTTTCTGTCTACCATGTGTCCACTGTCACTATCTCAGTTTTCTGTCTACCATGTGTCCACTGTCACTATCTCAGTTTTCTGTCTACCATGTGTTTACTGTCACTATCTCAGTTTTCTGTCTACCATGTGTCCACTGTCACTATCTCAGTTTTCTGTCTACCATGTGTCCACTGTCACTACCTCAGTTTTCTGTCTACCATGTGTCCACTGTCACTATCTCAGTTTTCTGTCTACCATGTGTCCACTGTCACTACCTCAGTTTTCTGTCTACCATGTGTTTACTGTCACTATCTCAGTTTTCTGTCTACCATGTGTTTACTGTCACTATCTCAGTTTTCTGTCTACCATGTGTCCACTGTCACTACCTCAGTTTTCTGTCTACCATGTGTCCACTGTCACTATCTCAGTTTTCTGTCTACCATGTGTCCACTGTCACTATCTCAGTTTTCTGTCTACCATGTGTCCACTGTCACTATCTCAGTTTTCTGTCTACCATGTGTCCACTGTCACTATCTCAGTTTTTCTGTCTACCATGTGTCCACTGTCACTATCTCAGTTTTCTGTCTACCATGTGTCCACTGTCACTATCTCAGTTTTTCTGTCTACCATGTGTCCACTGTCACTATCTCAGTTTTCTGTCTACCATGTGTTTACTGTCACTATCTCAGTTTTCTGTCTACCATGTGTCCACTGTCACTATCTCAGTTTTCTGTCTACCATGTGTTTACTGTCACTATCTCAGTTTTCTGTCTACCATGTGTCCACTGTCACTATCTCAGTTTTCTGTCTACCATGTGTCCCACTGTCACTATCTCAGTTTTCTGTCTACCATGTGTCCACTGTCACTATCTCAGTTTTCTGTCTACCATGTGTTTACTGTCACTATCTCAGTTTTCTGTCTACCATGTGTTTACTGTCACTATCTCAGTTTTCTGTCTACCATGTGTCCACTGTCACTATCTCAGTTTTCTGTCTACCATGTGTCCACTGTCACTATCTCAGTTTTCTGTCTACCATGTGTCCACTGTCACTATCTCAGTTTTCTGTCTACCATGTGTTTACTGTCACTATCTCAGTTTTCTGTCTACCATGTGTTTACTGTCACTATCTCAGTTTTCTGTCTACCATGTGTTTACTGTCACTATCTCAGTTTTCTGTCTACCATGTGTCCACTGTCACTATCTCAGTTTTCTGTCTACCATGTGTCCACTGTCACTATCTCAGTTTTCTGTCTACCATGTGTCCACTGTCACTATCTCAGTTTTCTGTCTACCATGTGTCCACTGTCACTATCTCAGTTTTCTGTCTACCATGTGTCCACTGTCACTATCTCAGTTTTCTGTCTACCATGTGTCCACTGTCACTATCTCAGTTTTCTGTCTACCATGTGTCCACTGTCACTATCTCAGTTTTCTGTCTACCATGTGTCCACTGTCACTATCTCAGTTTTCTGTCTACCATGTGTCCACTGTCACTATCTCAGTTTTCTGTCTACCATGTGTCCACTGTCACTATCTCAGTTTTCTGTCTACCATGTGTCCACTGTCACTATCTCAGTTTTCTGTCTACCATGTGTCCACTGTCACTATCTCAGTTTTCTGTCTACCATGTGTCCACTGTCACTATCTCAGTTTTCTGTCTACCATGTGTCCACTGTCACTATCTCAGTTTTCTGTCTACCATGTGTTTACTGTCACTATCTCAGTTTTCTGTCTACCATGTGTCCACTGTCACTACCTCAGTTTTCTGTCTACCATGTGTCCACTGTCACTATCTCAGTTTTCTGTCTACCATGTGTCCACTGTCACTATCTCAGTTTTCTGTCTACCATGTGTCCACTGTCACTATCTCAGTTTTCTGTCTACCATGTGTCCACTGTCACTATCTCAGTTTTCTGTCTACCATGTGTCCACTGTCACTATCTCAGTTTTCTGTCTACCATGTGTCCACTGTCACTATTTCAGTTTTCTGTCTACCATGTGTCCACTGTCACTATCTCAGTTTTCTGTCTACCATGTGTCCCACTGTCACTATCTCAGTTTTCTGTCTACCATGTGTCCACTGTCACTATCTCAGTTTTCTGTCTACCATGTGTCCACTGTCACTATCTCAGTTTTCTGTCTACCATGTGTCCACTGTCACTATCTCAGTTTTCTGTCTACCATGTGTCCACTGTCACTATCTCAGTTTTCTGTCTACCATGTGTCCACTGTCACTATCTCAGTTTTCTGTCTACCATGTGTCTACTGTCACTATCTCAGTTTTCTGTCTACCATGTGTCCACTGTCACTATCTCAGTTTTCTGTCTACTAGGTGCCTACTGTTACAACCCTAGAAAGCAGCAAACAAGAACTCACATGGCCCATTCAAGTGGCTCACTCTTGATTGCCTGGTAGATAGCCTTCAGCACCTCCTTGGAGAAATTGTCTCCGTCATTGAGTCCAGCCAGGTTTTCAATAAACTCCTGGCAAGTCATTCTCCGGCCAACATTCTGGGAAAATTGATGTAAGCAAAGACTTAATGCGTGTTTGGTGGTAAGGAGGGTGGGGGGGGGGGGGGGGGGGGGGGGGGGGATGAGAGATGGAGATGTCTGCAGAGAATAGAAAGAATTATATGGCCTAGAATAATTACTAATACAGAGTTCATGGAAAGACCTAAACACTTCTCTAGTGAATCAAAGACTTGAGAAAAGCAGAAAGAATGAGACAGAAAGGAAAAAAAAAAAAAAAAGGGGGGGGGGAAGGACAGAGAGACAGAGGGGACAGAGAGGGGGAGACAGAGGGACAGAGAGGGGGCGACAGAGAGACAGAGGGGGGGGGGGAGACATAGAGAGACAGAGGGGGGGGGGGAAGACATAAAGAGACAATGCTTAAAGGTAACAGAAATCTCGGTATGACATCAGTGAAATGCTCAATAGGAATAAGTAGATCACCATGTCAAGTGGTCGGGGATGTTATGATGAATGCAACATATTCCCCTCTAGAAACTCCCCAACAGGAGTTGAGTTTGACTATATGTATGGGTGGATCCACACAGTCAGGGTATGCATTCAGTGCTAATCATTATCAATCAGCAGGTTCTTCAGAGAGTGTCGCTCTCTGGCCAATTTTCAGCCCTATGTGCTTTGCTAGTCAATGCATCTTTAATGTTGTGTATAAACCTTCACAGAAGTCTGCTTCTGTCTCGTTTGTGGAAACTGTAACCTTCATCAGCATTTGTCCCCAGACCACCGAGGGAATGAACACTTTGATTCTGTCAGAACCTGAAAGCAATGACCTTTGTCCAGATGTCATTTGTGTAGAGGCATCGTTAAAACTCCCAGAAACTTGGCTCAAAGAAACTACAGGAACAGAACAAGAAGCAGACTAAATCTGGAGTCTTGATAAGATAAACATTGTAGGAGTTGACAGCTGTGCCTGCTGGGCTGACATGCAGGCCCGCTACCTACTGCCTCATCACCAGACATACAGGCCGTCTATCTACTGCCTTATCACCAGACATGCAGGCCCACTACCTACTGCCTCATCACTTGACAAGCAGGCCCCTTACCTACTGCCTCATCACCTGACAAGCAGGCCCCTTACCTACTGCCTCATCACCTGACATACAGGCCCCTTACCTACTGCCTCATCACCAGACATACAGGCCCACTACCTACTGCCTCATCACCAGACATACAGGCCCACTACCTACTGCCTCATCACCAGACATACAAGCCCACTACCTACTGCCTCATCACCAGACATACAGGCCCACTACCTACTGCCTCATCACCAGACATACAGGCCCACTACCTACTGCCTCATCACCAGACATACAGGCCCACTACCTACTGCCTCATCAGTAGACAAGCAGGCCCGTTACCTACTGCCTCATCAGCAGACATGCAGGCCCACTACCTACTGCCTCATCACAAGACATACAGGCCCACTACCTACTGCCTCATCACAAGACATACAGGCCCACTACCTACTGCCTCATCAGCAGACATACAGGCCCACTACCTACTGCCTCATCACCAGACAATCAGGCCCCTTACCTACTGCCTCATCACCAGACATACAGGCCCGCTACCTACTGCCTCATCACCTGACAAGCAGGCCCCTTACCTACTGCCTCATCACCAGACATACAGGCCCGCTACCTACTGCCTCATCACCTGACAAGCAGGCCCCTTACCTACTGCCTCATCACCTGACATACAGGCCCCTTACCTACTGCCTCATCACCAGACATACAGGCCCACTACCTACTGCCTCATCACCAGACATACAGGCCCACTACCTACTGCCTCATCACCAGACATACAGGCCCACTACCTACTGCCTCATCAGTAGACAAGCAGGCCCGTTACCTACTGCCTCATCAGCAGACATGCTGGCCCCTTACCTACTGCCTCATCACCAGACATGCTGGCCCGCTACCTACTGCCTCATCACCAGACATACAGGCCCACTACCTACTGCCTCATCACCTGACATGCAGGCCCGTTACCTACTGCCTCATCAGTAGACATACAGGCCCCTTACCTACTGCCTCATCAGTAGACAAGCAGGCCCGTTACCTACTGCCTCATCACCAGACATGCAGGCCCCTTACCTACTGCCTCATCACCAGACATACAGGCCCCTTACCTACTGCCTCATCACCAGACATACAGGCCCACTACCTACTGCCTCATCAGTAGACAAGCAGGCCCGTTACCTACTGCCTCATCACCAGACATACAGGCCCCTTACCTACTGCCTCATCACAAGACATACAGGCCCGTTACCTACTGCCTCATCACCAGACATACAAGCCCACTACCTACTGCCTCATCAGTAGACATACAGGCCCGTTACCTACTGCCTCATCAGCGGACATACAGGCCCGCTACCTTCTGCCTCATCACCAGACATACAGGCCCGCTACCTACTGCCTCATCACCAGACATGCAGGCCCCTTACCTACTGCCTCATCACCAGACATACAAGCCCGTTAGCTACTGCCTCATCAGCAGACATACAGGCCCGTTACCTACCGCCTCATCACCAGACATACAGGCCCACTACCTCTGCCTCATCAGTAGACAAGCATGCCCGTTACCTACTGCCTCATCAGCAGACATACAGGCCCGCTACCTACTGCCTCATCAGCAGACATACATGCCCGCTACCTACTGCCTCATCACCAGACATGTAGGCCCGCTACCTACTGCCTCATCACCAAACATACAGGCCCGCTACCTACTGCCTCATCAGTAGACAAGCAGGCCCGCTACCAACTGCCTCATCACCAGACAAGCAGGCCCGCTACCTACCGCCTCATCACCAGACAAGCAGGCCCGCTACCTACTGCCTCATCAGTAGACAAGCAGGCCCGTTACCTACTGCCTCATCAGTAGACAAGCAGGCCCGCTACCTACTGCCTCATCAGTAGACAAGCAGGCCCGTTACCTACTGCCTCATCAGTAGACAGAGTGTGACAACAGAGCCCTCAAGTCACTACACACAATTCAGATAACATATTTCTTTTTGCGGTATTTGTCAAGTCCACAGAATTGCCTTCTGGTAAGGGATTTTACCATTAAATACAGAGACAAAAAAGAACTGTTTGTCCTTCCTCTGACCACAAAGATATAGTTTTGTGAACATAGCCAAGCTGGGCAAAGCGAGGTCATTATAAGTTTATTATGACATTACAATGAGAAAATTACAATGTATATTTTTATACCCCCCCCCCCCCCCCATAATTACACCCCCATGTGTAGAGAGAATGCAGCTGCAACCAGCACCAAAGCTGTGATATGCATCTAGTGACCACTGGCTGACATCCACAAGTTATCAGGGAAGCCCATGGCTAACATCCACAAGTTACTATGGAAGCCCATGGCTGACATCCACAAGTTACAGCCGAAGCCAATGGCTGACATCCACAAGTTACAGCGGAAGCCAATGGCTGACATCCACAAGTTAGTATGGCTGACATCCACAAGTTACAGCAAAAGCCAATGGCTGACATCCACAAGTTACTATGGCTGACATCCACAAGTTACAGCGGAAGCCAATGGCTGACATCCACAAGTTACAGTGGAAGCCAATGGCTGACATCCACAAGTTACAGCGGAAGCCAATGGCTGACATCCACAAGTTACTATGGCTGACATCCACAAGTTAATAGGGAAGCCAATGGCTGACATCCACAAGTTACTAGGGAAGCCTATGGCTGACATCCACAAGTTACAATGGCTGACATCCACAAGTTACAGCGGAAGCCAATGGCTGACATCCACAAGTTACAGTGGAAGCCAATGGCTGAAATCCACAAGTTACAGTGGAAGCCAATGGCTGACATCCACAAGTTACAGCGGAAGCCAATGGCTGACATCCACAAGTTACTATGGCTGACATCCACAAGTTACTAGGGAAGCCAATGGCTGACATCCACAAGTTACTAGGGAAGCCTATGGCTGACATCCACAAGTTACAATGGCTGACATCCACAAGTTACTAGGGAAGCCAATGGCTGACATCCACAAGTTACTAGGGAAGCCTATGGCTGACATCCACAAGTTACTAGGGAAGCCTATGGCTGACATCCACAAGTTACTAGGGAAGCCTATGGCTGACATCCACAAGTTACTAGGGCTGACATCCACAAGTTACTATGGCTGACATCCACAAGTTACTAGGAAAGCCTATGGCTGACATCCACAAGTTACTAGGGAAGCCTATGGCTGACATCCACAAGTTACTATGGCTGACATCCACAAGTTACTATGGCTGACATCCACAAGTTACTATGGCTGACACCCACAAGTTACCACAGAAAAGACACAGAATCTCAAAACTGTTACTGAACTCATGTTCAGCTGCTGTGCCACAGGGCTTCAGTCTATGGATTCCCTGCACTACTAAAGCAAATCAGTGTAGATAGCCAGTATATATGTGCAGCAAATGTGGGTCTTGCTGGTCACATTAAACAATCTTGGGGTCAACTGACTATCTCATTGCTTGGGTAAAAACATCTCACAGCTGGCAGCATATACAACTGCTGTCACACTAGACTGTTTCTGCTGAAATGCCTGACCCGTAGTCTATAGCTCTGGTGGAGCTGGGCAAATATTGAGCTCTTCTGTCCACTGTTGCAAGGCTATATCTGTCAACACAATAAAATTAACGAAACAGTTCCATGTAGAATCACACACACACACACACCCATCCCCACACTTCTCCTCCCCGCCCCCCCTTCTCCCCCCCCCCCCCCCCCCCCCCCCCACACTTCTCCTTCCCCACACTTCTTCTCCCTCCACTGATGTTTAAATTAAAAAAAATCAGGTGTCAACATACCGGAGAATGCAGGTCAGAGTTCAGCAGCATAATTGCACAAGTGAGAGTATGACAGGCATCTGTGGGGACAATATAACATGTTAGAGTATGACAGGCATCTGTGGGGATAACATAGCATGTTAGAGTATGACAGGCATCTGTGGGGATAACATAACATGTTAGAGTATGACAGGCATCTGTGGGGATAACATAGCATGTTAGAGTATGACAGGCATCTGTGGCGATAATATAACATGTTCGAGTAATTGACAGCATCTTGTGGGACAATAGTAACATTGTTTAGAGTATGACAGGCATCTGTGGGGATAACATAACCATGTTAGAGTATGACCAGGCATCTGTGGGGATAATATAAACAAGTGTGAGTAATGACATGCATCTGTGGGGGATAATATAACATGTTAGAGAGTATGACGGCATCTGTGGCGATAATATAACATGTTAGAGTATGGACAGGCATCTGTGGGGGATAATATAAAATGTTTAGAGTGTATGACAGGGCATCTGTGGCGATAATATAACATGTTAGAGTATGACCAGGTCATCTGTGGGGATAACATAAATGTTAGAGTATGACAGGCATCTGTGGGGATAACCATAGCATGTTTAGAGTACTGAAGATGCATCTGTGGCGATAATAGTAACATGTTAGAGTATGACAGGCATCTGTGGGGACAATATAACATGTTAGAGTATGACAGGCATCTGTGGGGATAACATAACATGTTTAGAGTATGACAGGCATCGTGGCGATACTGTAACAAGATGGAGTATGCCAGATCTGTTGGGATTAATATAAACAAGTTGTAAGTATGACAGGCATCTGTGGGGATAATATAACAAGTGTGAGTATGACAGGCATCTGTGGGGATAATATAACAAGTGTGAGTATGACAGGCATACTGTGGTGGATATAAACAACTGTGGAGTATGACAGGCATCTGTGGGGATAATAAACATGTTAGAGTATGACAGGCATCTGTGGGGATTATATAACAAGTTGTGGAGTTATGACAGGCATCTGTGGGGATAATATAACCTGTTAGAGGGTATGACATGCCATCTGTGGGGGAGATAATATACATGTTAGAGTATGACAGGCATCTGTGGGGATATTATAACAAGTGAGAGTAATGCACAGGCATCTGTGGGGGAATAACATAACATGTTAAGAGTCATGACAGGCATATGTGGGGATAAGTAACATGGAGTAAGAGTATGGACAGGAATCTGTGGGGATAATATAACATGTTAAGAGTATGACAGGCATCTGTGGGGATAATATATAAAACCCCACCCAAAATTTTGTTAAGAGTAGACAGGCATCTGTGGGGATAATAAAACATTTAAGAGTATGACAGGATCTGTGGGGATAATATAAATGTTAAGAGTATGACAGGAATCTGCTGCGGGGATAATATAATCATGTAAGAGTCTTTATGACAGGCATCTGTGCGGGAATAATATTAACAAGTGAGAGTATGACAGCCTCCTGTGGGGATAATATAACATGTTAGAGTATGACAGGCATATGTGAGGATAATATAACAAGTGAGAGTATGACAGGCATCTGTGGGGACAAAATAACATGTTAGAGTATGACAGGCATCTGTGGGGACAATATAACATGTTAGAGTATGACAGGCATCTGTGGGGACAATATAACATGTTAGAGTATGACAGGCATCTGTGGGGACAATATAACAAGTGAGAGTATGACAGGCATCTGTGGGGATAACATAACATGTTAGAGTATGACAGGCATCTGTGGGGATAACATAACATGTTAGAGTATGACAGGCATCTGTGGGGATAATATAACAAGTGAGAGTATGACAGGCATCTGTGGGGACAATATAACAAGAGAGAGTATGGAAGGCATCTGTGGGGATAATATAACAAATGAGAGTATGACAGGCATCTGTGTGGATGATATAACAAATGAGAGTATGACAGGCATCTGTGGGGATGATATAACAAGTGTGAGTATGACAGGCATCTGTGGAGAGAATATAACAAGTGAGAATTTGACAGGCATCTGTGAGGATAATATAAAAAGTGAGAGTATCACAGGCATCTGTGGGGAGAATATAACAAGTGAGAATTTGACAGGCATCTGTGAGGATAATATAAAAAGTGAGAGTATGACAGGCATCTGTGAGGATAATATAACAAGTGAGAGTATGGAAGGCATCTGTGAGGATAATATAACATGTTAGAGTATGACAGGCATCTGTGAGGATAATATAAAAAGTGAGAGTATGACAGGCATCTGTGAGGATAATATAACATGTTAGAGTATGACAGGCATCTGTGTGGATAATATAACAAGTGTGAGTATGACAGGCATCTGTGTGGATAATATAACAAGTGTGAGTATGACAGGCATCTGTGTGGATAATATAACAAGTGAGAGTATGACAGGCATCTGTGTGGATAATATAACAAGTGTGAGTATGACAGGCATTATCTTGAATTAATTGCCGAATTTCCACCTGCTGGCCAGTCTCTGCATTCCCGGCTCAGTGTGATTATGACCCTACACTGTTCAGGTGGCACTTTGACACACTCCTCTCCTCACCTTATGTTCTCAAGGATGCAAAACTGCCCGACTATGTCTTCTGCCTGAGCCATCCATGACTTCCCTCGTATCAGCCGCTGACACTTAACTGCACCCAGAGCTTCGTGCAAAGGGGCAAAGGGTAGTCTGTGTCTGCAGCTACCCTGAGATATGACTTCGCCTGCAGAACCTTGTGCCTACCTGCAACAGTAGGCAAACCAAGGATGTATCGCATACACACCACTGGGGTGTCTCTGGTGCAACCCAGAATGACCCGCATAGCTGCGTTCTGGCTGCGCTTTAGTTTGTCCATCTGAATCTTTGCGACGATGAGCAGTCCCAGGCCATAATCAACCACTGACATAGTATGAAAAGCATTTTCTGCTCTATGTCAATTGCAACCATAGTCTTAAGTGCACCAAGTTCTTTTTGGCATCTTGTCACACCACTCTCCACATGGTCCTTAAAGGACAGACTCCTGTCAAATGTAATTCACAGATACTTCTGTTTGCTCTCTATATTGATGTTTCTACCATCTATCGTGAAACTTGGGACGTTAGCTTTAACGATTCTGTTCAGAAAACACTACAAAATAGACGCCTTTTCCCGGTGGACGACAGCCCTCATTTCTGTACACCACTCAATCACTTCGTCTACTGTCGCTTGTAGCTGTGTGTTCCCTCTCTTCTCCCTGCCTATATGCAAGCATATCATCCGCAAAAGTAAGTATCCTTCCAACTCCTGATGCTTCTAGGTTTGCAACCTTGCTCGTATGCACGTTGAAGACCACAGGCGAGATGGCGGATCCCTGTGGCAGTCCTGGGGCCAAAGTGCATGGTTCTGAGGTCCATGAGCCCAGTCGGAGAGCAACCCGACGTGAATACAGGACAGCTGCAACCCAATTCACCAGCCATGGACTGACCTCCATCTCCTTCAGTGCAGAGACTAAACAAGATCTCAGTATACTATCAGAGCACAATACTGAGATCTTGTTTAGTCTTTCCTCTTGTGCCCTGGTAGCCACCGTGGTATAATGGCGAGATGCTCGCCTGTGGGTCAGAAGGTCATGGTTTTTTTTTTTTTTTTTTTATGAGCTTGGCTCACAGATCCACCTAGCCTTAAATGGGTACCAGGGTAAATCCAGCTAGCCTGATGTTGACCATATCACCGACCAAGTGCCGACTGGTCTATAAAATAACAGGTCTAGCTCAATATGCCCAAAGGCCTGGAGGAAAGTCCTTTACTTTACTTTACTTAGGTATTGAGAGTACAATGGGTCTGGATTTAGCCCCCTCCTTCCCTTGTGACAACTGAAACAGCTGGGCAACATAAAACACACCAAGCAAGAGAAACCTCACCAAGATGAGAGTGAACAGACAGGGATGGAGGATCATGATCCCTGATGTCTGCTCCAGGCAGGCACCCAGAGCAGAAGCAGCATGTTAAACAAAGTTTCTGACAGAAGCAATACAAACCTGATGTTGAACATAACAAGGAGGCATCCAAGAAGACAAAAGACCAGTGTATCAGCAGATGTCCAGACAATCAATGGCCGAGACTGGAATACTGCTACTAGATAGTTAGACAAGGAAGGAAACAAGGCTGTGCTCACAGACAATCAGTCTGGAGATATGAGGTCAATTCCAGACAGATGGTCAACATGAATGAACACGGTCACAACTGCTCATAAGACGAGGAGATGAAGAGAGATCTTGCAATGGGAAACTATCCTCAGAGTTAACAGACCCTAGATGACACTGCCTTAATGATCTCAAAGACAACAAAATATAACATGAAAGTTTGCAAGCTGCAAAAGGACGGATTCACAAGATGGTACACAAAGGACTCATAAGATGGTACAGAAAGGACTCATAAGATGGTACAGAAAGGACTCATAAGATGGTACAGGAAGGATTCACAAGATGATACAGGAAGGATTCACAAGATGATACAGGAAGGATTCACAAGATGATACAAGAAGGACTCACAAGATGGTACAAGAAGGACTCACAAGATGGTACAGGAAGGATTAACAAGATGGTACAGGGAGGACTCACAAGATGGCAGAGGGAGGACTCACAAGATGGCAGAGGAAGGACTCACAAAATGGAACAGAAAGGATTAACAAAATGGAACAGAAAGGACTCACAAGATGGTACAGAAAGGATTAACAAGATGTTACAGGGAGGATTAACAAGATGGTACAGGGAGGACACACAAGATGGTACAGAAAGGACTCACTGACACAAGAAAAACGATTCAAGCAAAGCTCACTTACCTTCAGAATTGAAAGATCCTGGGTTACATTCCATGAATCTGTGAGAGAAATGTGCTAGTACTCGTTCTCTTTCTTGAGTTTCTCCGTACAAGGAAAACCTCAGCAGGAACTTGCGCAAAGCTTGGTCCAGGGTGTCCTCCTGGAAGTCGAAGAACTTGAGATACTCCTCCGCCACCAGATTGCTAAAATCATTTCTGCACAGTGAGAAAACAAAACCAGGAAATTTGCCAAAGGTATTTTTATATTTTCACATCTAAGTTTGTCTCACAATTATGCTGAGTACATGAAACAGATCTGTCAATCTTAAATGCATCAAGCAGTGTTTCTAAAACTTTTTTTTTTGCCAGCCCACTTTTCAAAAATACAATTTACTCAGTGCGCCCCCCCCCCCCCCCCCCCCATCCCAGGAAATATCACAATTATCATGTACCATGCCGATAAGTATGTGCAGTAATTATCTGTCATTGTATATGATCAGCAGTATCACAGCAAACCACCCAGGTATTTTATCTGTTTGCCCCTCCCCCCTCCCTTCCACTTTATGTGTCATCAAATTCTTGAGTCTACTCCTTCCTTAATCCAATAAACTGCAAAAAATGCAGTCACAAATTTACTTTTTTTACTTTTAAATAAAACTTCTTAATTCCAAAGTCTTACAACATAGTCACACCAGTTAAGTGAATCCTGAGGTTCCAAGCTCAATCGACATACTCCATTCTAGGCCTGTTTCATTAGACAAAAATGGTTTGTCTCAATGCATGTGGAATGGCTAGTCTGCCCTTGATCTTTTCTGTATCTTACAGTGAGCAGATAATCTGGCAGACAATGCGGCTATTACGACAGCCCTGGCACACTGGTCAGAAGCAGCATCATCATGTGAGATGCATATCAGGAAGATGATCGTGGTGACAGGTATGACTCCATAATGCTGTCCCAGTTGCTAGATATCGGTGTGCAACCTGCAGCTGCCAGTAATGAAAACATTTCCCTTAGCATTTCATTGTTATTCTACAAAGATCTGTGTTATCATAAGACATACTGGGCCAAGATCACACAAACAGTGACGTATAGTTATCAAATATATAAGCATGCTTCCCCCTGTGGGTTCCGGGGCCCTATTATAGGGAAAACAAGAATGGACCCACTGCCCACCCAAAAGCATGTTGTAAGAGTCGACTGATTGGGAGCTTCCTTCGAAGTCGGAGTGCATCTGCCTGAGAGATAAGAAACCAACAGTCTGCACACAAATGTGTCAGATCTGCCAAATGGATGCACACGCAACACTCAGGTTCTGGAACAGGATTGCAGCCCAGAAGTGGACGAACAACTGGAACTTTCCACCAGAGTTTACAGCTGGTCAACACAAGGAAGATAAGCATGCTTGAGCAGTATGTCTGGAGACAGACTGTGCCGAGATCACACAAACAATTTGTAAGTGTCTGAGTATCCAGGAATAATGTTTGCCAAGACTACAATGTCTCAGTGTCCAGGAATAATGTTTGAAAAGATTACAATATCTCAGTGTCCAGGAATATTGTTTGCCAAGACTACAATGTCTCAGTGTCCAGGAATAATGTTTGCCAAGATTGCAATATCTCAGTGTCCAGGAATAATGTCTGCCAAGATTACAATATCTCAGTGTCTAGGAATAATGTCTGCCAAGATTACAATATCTCAGTGTCCAGGAATAATGTCTGCCAAGATTACAATATCTCAGTGTCCAGGAATAATGTCTGCCAAGATTACAATATCTCAGTGTCCAGGAATAATGTCTGCCAAGATTACAATATCTCAGTGTCCAGGAATAATGTTTGCCAAGATTACAATGTTTCAGTGTCTAGGAATAATGTTTGCCAAGATTACAATATCTCAGTGTCCAGGAATAATGTCTGCCAAGATTACAATATCTCAGTGTCCAGGAATAATGTCTGCCAAGATTACAATATCTCAGTGTCCAGGAATAATGTCTGCCAAGATTACAATATCTCAGTGTCCAGGAATAATGTCTGCCAAGATTACAATATCTCAGTGTCCAGGAATAATGTCTGCCAAGATTACAATATCTCAGTGTCCAGGAATAATGTCTGCCAAGATTACAATATCTCAGTGTCTAGGAATAATGTCTGCCAAGATTACAATATCTCAGTGTCCAGGAATAATGTCTGCCAAGATTACAATATCTCAGTGTCTAGGAATAATGTCTGCCAAGATTACAATATCTCAGTGTCCAGGAATAATGTCTGCCAAGATTACAATATCTCAGTGTCCAGGAATAATGTCTGCCAAGATTACAATATCTCAGTACAATATCTTATCTCAGTGTCCAGGAATAATGTCTGCCAAGATTACAATATCTCAGTGTCCAGGAATAATGTCTGCCAAGATTACAATATCTCAGTGTCCAGGAATAATGTCTGCCAAGATTACAATATCTCAGTGTCCAGGAATAATGTCTGCCAAGATTACAATATCTCAGTGTCCTGGAATAATGTCTGCCAAGATTACAATATCTCAGTGTCCAGGAATAATGTCTGCCAAGATTACAATATCTCAGTGTCTAGGAATAATGTCTGCCAAGATTACAATATCTCAGTGTCCAGGAATAATGTCTGCCAAGATTACAATATCTCAGTGTCTAGGAATAATGTCTGCCAAGATTACAATATCTCAGTGTCCAGGAATAATGTCTGCCAAGATTACAATATCTCAGTGTCTAGGAATAATGTCTGCCAAGATTACAATATCTCAGTGTCCAGGAATAATGTCTGCCAAGATTACAATATCTCAGTGTCCAGGAATAATGTCTGCCAAGATTACAATATCTCAGTGTCCAGGAATAATGTCTGCCAAGATTACAATATCTCAGTGTCCAGGAATAATGTCTGCCAAGATTACAATATCTCAGTGTCCAGGAATAATGTCTGCCAAGATTACAATATCTCAGTGTCCAGGAATAATGTCTGCCAAGATTACAATATCTCAGTGTCCCAAGAATAATGTCTGCCCAAGATTACAATATCTCAGTGTCCAGGAATAATGTCTGCCAAGATTACAATATCTCAGTGTCCAGGAATAATGTCTGCCAAGATTACAATATCTCAGTGTCCTGGAATAATGTCTGCCAAGATTACAATATCTCAGTGTCTAGGAATAATGTCTGCCAAGATTACAATATCTCAGTGTCCAGGAATAATGTCTGCCAAGATTACAATATCTCAGTGTCCTGGAATAATGTCTGCCAAGATTACAATATCTCAGTGTCCAGGAATAATGTCTGCCAAGATTACAATATCTCAGTGTCCAGGAATAATGTCTGCCAAGATTACAATATCTCAGTGTCTAGGAATAATGTCTGCCAAGATTACAATATCTTAGTGTCCAGGAATAATGTCTGCCAAGATTACAATATCTCAGTGTCCAGGAATAATGTCTGCCAAGATTACAATATCTCAGTGTCCAGGAATAATGTCTGCCAAGATTACAATATCTCAGTGTCCAGGAATAATGTCTGCCAAGATTACAATATCTCAGTGTCCAGGAATAATGTCTGCCAAGATTACAATATCTCAGTGTCCAGGAATAATGTCTGCCAAGATTACAATATCTCAGTGTCTAGGAATAATGTCTGCCAAGATTACAATATCTCAGTGTCCAGGAATAATGTCTAGGAACAATATCTCAGTGTCCAGGAATAATGCCAAGATTACAATATCTCAGTGTCCAGGAATAATGTCTGCCAAGATTACAATATCTCAGTGTCCAGGAATAATGTCTGCCAAGATTACAATATCTCAGTGTCTAGGAAATGTCTGCCAAGATTACAATATCTCAGTGTCCAATAATGTCTGCCAAGATTACAATATCTCAGTGTCTAGGAATAATGTCTGCCAAGATTACAATATCTCAGTGTCTAGGAATAATGTCTGCCAAGATTACAATATCTCAGTGTCCAGGAATAATGTCTGCCAAGATTACAATATCTCAGTGTCTAGGAATAATGTCTGCCAAGATTACAATATCTCAGTGTCCAGGAATAATGTCTGCCAAGATTACAATATCTCAGTGTCCAGGAATAATGTCTGCCAAGATTACAATATCTCAGTGTCTAGGAATAATGTCTGCCAAGATTACAATATCTCAGTGTCCTAGGAATAATGTCTGCCAAGATTACAATATCTCAGTGTCCAGGAATAATGTCTGCCAAGATTACAATATCTCAGTGTCCAGGAATAATGTCTGCCAAGATTACAATATCTCAGTGTCCAGGAATAATGTCTGCCAAGATTACAATATCTCAGTGTCCAGGAATAATGTCTGCCAAGATTACAATATCTCAGTGTCTAGGAATAATGTCTGCCAAGATTACAATATCTCAGTGTCTAGGAATAATGTCTGCCAAGATTACAATATCTCAGTGTCTAGGAATAATGTCTGCCAAGATTACAATATCTCAGTGTCCTGGAATAATGTCTGCCAAGATTACAATATCTCAGTGTCTAGGAATAATGTCTGCCAAGACTACAATATCTCAGTGTCCAGGAATAATGTCTGCCAAGATTACAAATATCTCAGTGTCTAGGAATAATGTCTGCCAAGATTACAATATCTCAGTGTCCTGGAATAATGTCTGCCAAGATTACAATATCTCAGTGTCTAGGAATAATGTCTGCCAAGATTACAATATCTCAGTGTCCAGGAATAATGTCTGCCAAGATTACAATATCTCAGTGTCTAGGAATAATGTCTGCCAAGATTACAATATCTCAGTGTCTAGGAATAATGTCTGCCAAGATTACAATATCTCAGTGTCTAGGAATAATGTCTGCCAAGATTACAATATCTCAGTGTCTAGGAATAATGTCTGCCAAGATTACAATATCTCAGTGTCTAGGAATAATGTCTGCCAAGATTACAATATCTCAGTGTCTAGGAATAATGTCTGCCAAGATTACAATATCTCAGTGTCCTGGAATAATGTCTGCCAAGATTACAATATCTCAGTGTCCTGGAATAATGTCTGCCAAGATTACAATATCTCAGTGTCTAGGAATAATGTCTGCCAAGATTACAATATCTCAGTGTCTAGGAATAATGTCTGCCAAGATTACAATATCTCAGTGTCCAGGAATAATGTCTGCCAAGATTACAATATCTCAGTGTCTAGGAATAATGTCTGCCAAGATTACAATATCTC